TTTCAACAGTAGGCTACAGATGCCAATTTTGGATGACAGGTAGTACCCAATATACCTGAGGTGCTTGGTGAACCTGAGGCGCCTGTGATGGAACAAACAAATTAGGTTGTTGAGGTTGCTGAATGGAGCAGAATCAGCATACCCTCTCCCGTATGAAGGATCAAAAGGCTGTTGATAGTTTTCATTATATGGAATTCCAGAAGCAACATGCTGCACTTGTGGTGAAACTGACTCCTAACCAACAAACAGACATTAAAATGATTAAAACGAAAATCTTACAAATGCAGCAAAGACATATGCTCTGCACAAAAAATAAATCCCAAAGAAAAAGGGAAAATAAATACCTGATAATAATTTCTACCATAATTGGAATTATCAGTGCTTGCTGTAAATGATCCACTCTGCGGCTGAGTATTTTCAAGCTCAGTACTCTGGACTTCTTTCTCTGAAAATTATATAATTAGGATTATAAATAAGAACAAAAGAGAGGTGCACAGAAAACTTCAAACGCTAAAGCAAAAGCAAAAAGCTGAACAGCTGAAAATTGACGAGACCTAGATAACTTATATTATTCAAGATAAGCAGGATTTCCTCCCCAAAACAGCTAGAAATAGAAATTGACAGGCTAAGGAGTAAGATTCTAAAAAAGATACAAGAGCTCAACGAAAATATCATAATCAGTTCTTCTAGCTAGTGAGGCACTAGATTACATCACAAACCATAGTGCATCCGTGCTAGCTCCTTTTTCTCAGTGACCTTCTCATCTATTTCCCACTAAGCACCTACTCCCTCTCTCCCTCTCACCCCTATTTCTTCTGCCATGTGACAGTCAGTTACAAGCACTCAATTCACCACTTCCTATCCGGTCACCTATCATCAGCAGATAATGCAGCCTCAGGACCCCTTGCGCTATATTTTCTTTTCATTCCCTTCTCACAGGCCTTCAGCACCCTAGGCCTAGAAGTTACGGGTCCATAGGAAACACAATACAATTATTAATGCTAATTAAACAGCGAGCAGCAAAGAGCTCCTTATAATCAGGATTCGGTAATGTTTTGATATCAAAATATTGACCATATTCCTCTGCCAACAGAAACAACCAGGTTCACATGAACTGGGAGTCATTTATCCTTCAACATTGAGATAATTACCATGTTCTGCAGTGATCGAAACTTATACAGGTGAACTAATATTCCACAAGCCTATTCCAACATAATCTGCTTTCATTGAGGGAAATTTGAAGAAACATATAAAATTAGGAGCGAAAGCCAACCATGAAAACGTTATCCAAAATCTTAACCTAGAACTACAAAGCAAGACACCGCCCCTGCCCCAAAAAAATGGAGGTGGGGCGATATAACCAAAGCCAGAGAAAAGGACACAAGGACGTGTGCTTAAATGGAACACAAATAACATCCCTTCCTTACCACAGAAGAATGTTTTCCTGATGCATCTATTAAGCTTTGTTTGATGGAAGAATTCACACACATATATCTACCTTAGCAACTTTGTCCTGGACCTAAAGGTTTATATATAAAAAAATTTCCACTCTTCAATTTCACTCACTTCGTAAATAAAGTGGCAAATGTTATTAGTCAAGCACAGTGTCAGTGAAAGGTCAACTTTCTCACCATCAGCACACCAGTCTTAACAGTGCAAGAAAAAAAGCTTTTACCAGGTTGTGTAGAAAGAGAAATCCGGTCTTTTAAGACTAGAAGTTCAGGCGACAGTTCAGCAGACCCAAAAGTTTTATATACTCCATTGCTGTAGTCAACAGTCCCTGACTTGCTAAAATTTCAGCATACTTCTCAACACTTGCAAAGAGATGCACTAAATTGCTTCTGCCCGGTTGCTAGGGCAAGAACGATAGTTTTTTCCATCAAATCCTAAAAAGATGAGATTTTATCATTTTACATCAGCAATATCTATAACTATCAGTTGTATATCAAACTTCGTCACATCAGGCACATCATTTACCTGGAGAACATCAACATACGATTTTTCTTCATGCTCAGTCTGCAGATTCTTTGACCAAATTTCAACTGTTTTATCGATACTCCCAGCACATATATAACAGAGAGTTGCAGCTAATGTATTTCCAGTTCCCATGAGCTTTGAAGCAAGTGTGTCACAAAGCATTGTCCATTCATCTCTCTGAGCAAACTGTTAATAGGTCAAAACAGAACCAACATAATGGTAAGTGATGGAGAACCTAACTCCATAATCAAACTTATTCCCTGCATGAAGCTTCTTATTTATGCTATTATGAAATTCCAGCTCTAGAATTTTAGTTGATTATGCACCAGAATGAGAGACCTCATCTTGCATCAAGAAAGTCTGTTATCCTCACAACATTTTTTCTGATAAAATAAGCATTTTAAGCAAGAATAAATTGAGAACAACTTGGGGGAGAATAAAAATAAAAAAGCATTCAGGAATGCATTCTGCATATCGGATCAGTGATTCCCTCTGAACATGCATGAGCTGAATGTCGAAGTAAAGGCATAAACACAACCCTCCATGGAATTTGTAAGAGCAAGGAGGTGCCCTTGGTTATGTAGCTATTTCTCTCTAATCATATATGCCAAAGAATCACATAAACCACATATTGTCACAGAGCTTACTTCCTTTTTTTATTGCCAAAACGTTTTGCTTAGCATTTGGTAACAGGCCATCCTAATGGTCAAAATACTTTGAGACCCATTTCAACAATGCATTTTCTGTAGAACTTTTAACATATTTGAGAATATAAAATATATGGAAAATCTGTCATCTGAATGTCATTTAAGCTAATGAATACGTGCATTCTCAGTTTTTATTATCTCACTCCAAAATACCTAGTAGATTTCTTTAATATCTCACTCCAAAATACCTAGTAGATTTCAAAGTTCTTGGGACATTAAAAGAATCACTTGACAACTACCCCCCCTGGTATTAAAACAAAGCAAAAACTGTTTTAAGATGGTGGGTCAAACATGTACAAAGAAGATCAATGGAGACGCTAGTGAGGGGAGTAGATCAAACAAGGCTTGTTGTTATTGTTGTTATAGTGCTCCAACAAACCCAAACTATTGATCCCAAAACCTTCAACTTGAAAGTCCTAACCTCACAAGAAGATTTAAGGTTCCGCCAAATGGGCCTATTAGAAGACTCTTCCTCTGAGGAGAATGAGTAAGGAACTAGACAGGAATTACAAGAGAAGCCATCAGAAGAATTTACTACGTATTGGCCTATCATATGGGATAAGAAACACTCAAGTGAAGGGAACAAGATCAGAAACGCATTATTTCCTTCATCGTCCAGGCAACTAAAGAAAGGATATTTCCCAGCTCCCACTCAGAATCTGACAGGGGTGCTGGTACCAGAATTTCAAGAAACATGTAGCAAGAAGTAACCCTCGAGAAGCAGATTTCAAGATTTTGCATGAGGTCTGTAGCACTCTGTTGGCACTTGGCAGTGGTATTCCACCTATTAGGATCTACATCATACACTATAGATTACTAGATGCCATGGAAAAGGAGCCCCAGGGCCAGAACCATTTTGCAGCGAGAATATTGTTTCAGGACACCAGACTACCATGACCTGAAACCCTTAATTCTACAGCAAACCTCCCAATTCCCAACTGATAAGATAATACCTCTTATCATCTGTCACGCATAACCAGAGGAGGTTCCTCATGAATTTCACTATTCTCTAAACCTCATCCACTACTATAATACCAACCAAAGACCTAATCGATAGAGATACTTGACAGAAACAACTCAAGGAATAGTTCATAAAGAAATTAATATTTCATTACAATCAATACCCTCAAAAACCACATGCAGACCACCTTAACACTGAATCTAAAGAAGGCTAGACAGAAACCATCATAGCCCAGGAAAATATTCACTGAAGCAATATCTTAAATGGTAAAAGCTTGAGGGTTGAAGTTATATCACAGATATAGAAGGCTATTGCAAATGAAAGCATTCTGATTTCCAAATTATAACAAGGGAAAAAAAAAAGAAAACTTACACTACAAAGAAGAGCTAGAGTTTCTTTCCAAATTTTAGAGGCCTGGTGTTCACAAGGCTTAAGAGATCCTTGCTCACCATCGCAGAGACAATCTGAAAGCAAAGAAACTTTATTGATGAAACAATTTTAAAAAATGGAAATTTGGCACATTAAAGGACAAAGTGGGGTAGCAAGAAATTGATATGTGTGTCATGTTTATCAGCTACCTTCAAGTACGGCGATCTAGTTCTCTTAAGGTATTGGTCTCGTGTACTTTCCCATAGTGAAGCACTACCTACATGAGCAATAACTAGAGCATCAGCCCACTTATTTGCAGATATGCATTGTGTAACTGCCCCTTTGTAGTCCCCAACAACTAATGCACGCTGAACACTGTCATCAAATGTAGGATCATCACTCTCCTCTACTTCCAACTCTTCTTGGGTTTTGTCCAAACCATTGGCATAATCCACATTACCACCAGAAGTAGATACAGGTGTATCAGCTTTGGGACTAGGAAGAGTGTTAAAGAAATCCTCCCCGGTATCAGGGAAAAAAGTAGATTCATTAGTAGGCCCAAGTCCTACTTTATCAATAGCTGTCTCATCAAGTCCAATAGCACTGCCTTCTTGTGCAAGATCATCCACAGCTGTGTCTTTTTCTTCAATAGGTACAGTAAAGCCAAGCTTTGCAAGCAGCTTCGTTCGTGCAGTACCATCATCTTCAAACATAACCTTTAAGAAGCCCCATGTTTCTCTTTCTTCATCAGATCTGTAACAATAATGAAAGGAATCAACAGATGCTAGTGTCCTACTGTCCTAGGCAGGAGGCATCAAAACAAACATCATGATATATTGCTCTTCTTTAGGAGAACATACTCTGCTTCCTGAGACTTTTTGTCACATAAAACCCTCAGCAAAGACCTTTCCCCATTATGTATTGCAGCTTCAAATTCAGAGGAACGATTCACTAGACTATGTTCAGTAACCATATCATGCACATAAACCTGGAAAATAATACAATGAACATTCAAAAACTTGCAGAACAAAAATAGGGCATTGCAGTAATAAAAGAATACCTCTGAAGCCCCAGCAGGAGAATTTGTGGCAGATGACTTCGTATTAAATGATACAAGCTTGCCACCAAAACCAAAAGACACGCCTACTGGGCGTTTATACCATTTTGGAGCTCTTAGAGACACTGCCAAGAAAGGAAAATAATAAATGCCAAAACTAATATGTGAGATCAAGGAATATGAAAAGAGAGTATAATGTCTGACCCACCAAACCTGCCTCATCCCCGCAAAAAAAAGGTCTAAAGGATAAATTGGACAGAGTTTGGTCGTACTTGTCAAATGCATATGACTAATTTAATGGACAATAGATAAGTTCAATAGCAGCTAAAAAAGTCTCACCTGCACCAAAATCATTTTGCCCAGCATCATACCGACTGCAACCCTGCAAATAATTACATGTGCTAAAATTAATAATATGGGGAATAAAGATGCCTCCAGGAAGAAAATCCACAAAAAATAGATAATATATATGTCAATCCCCTAATCAGAAATCACAAATGAGCTCCATTAATTGCATGAACACATCAAGCATGGATAATATATTTTGGTCCCCATAACTTCTCTTGTTTATTATTGAAAATACTTTATGATTATACTGAAAGTTGCACGAGGAAGGGGGAAAAGGGTCCATCCATACATGCATTATTAGACATGGCTTTGGCACAGAACAAAATAACTACTATCTACTACAGTTATAATCAATGATAATATTAATAGAGCATGAGAAAATACAGATATCAATTATCTAGCAATTCATTTCCATCTCACTTCATCAAATCTCACACTTCCTAAAAAAATAATTACATCAAATTTGAAAGACAGTCAAAATTCATCACTAATAATGACCAGCAAAATCAGGTATTACCTCAACATTGTATATGCCAATTTTTCCGTCAAAGGATGATGCTGAAATTACTCCAGGTATTTTAGGATACCAATGCACATCAAAATTCCAGTTGGTCCCAGCAGGCAATTCACGTACAATCTGTTCCAGAAAAACGTCACTATGCAGCAAATTTTCTGTACATAAAAATAATTTAACATAGAGGGTAACTTTCAAACTTGCAGGTGAGAACAGAAGATTAAACACTACCTGGCCAGAAGTTGTGTCCCAGCATATGGTTCGATTATCTTTGGCACAGGTAAGCAAATAATAGCTATCATAGGGACACCATGACATGGCAATTACACCTAGTGTTCAGGCAACAAAAGAACATCATCTAGAATTTAAAAGTGATGGCATATAATGCATAGCTTCAACATAAAAGCTCAGCGACATAGGCAACCAAATGATGGCTATGGGACATCAAAAGTAATTCAAAAAACACATAAAGATGATAATACAGGTGTTATTACCTCCACTGTGTCCCACAAACTCTTTAATTGGTGCCATTATATTCCTCATATCCCAATGCTGCATCAATATGTTCATGAGCTTAACACATACCAAAAAATAGATAAAGACAATTTATCTGTGAAGTCTATACCCTCACAGCAGGAGAACCATCTTCATCTGATGCAACAACTAGCTCAGTGGCAAAATCAGGATTCCACTGCAAAACGGAGCATCGCCTTCTAACTGAGTCTGCAAAGCTGTGATTTCAAGAATGATACACCAGGTTATCATAAAAAAATTTTCAACATATAATACCAGACTTCTTTATAAACACAAGCGAAGAAGACCAAACCAAGTAATGGAAAGTATGTTACCTTATCACTGGCTTTTGCTTCCTTAGGTCCCAGACCACTGCAGAGAATTAAAAAAACAAAAACAAAATAGTACTCATAGCAATACAAGTTTGAGAACAGAGTAGAGTGTGACATAATTTCTTCCTCACCAGTAGTCCCATTATATGAAGTTGATGCTAATATGTGTTGGACTTTGCTATTCCATGATAAGAATGAAATTTCACCCTGAGAAGCTGAGCCACTTCCCTGCATAATGATGGTATATGTTGATTTAAAATACTGAAAAACTAACTGAATTACATAGACAAATATTTCAAGAAAAGAATAGATTTATCAATCGAAAGGAGTAATATCAGACAAACAAAACAAAGTGAGAGACACACACGCACTCATAAGGAGGATATCTGACCCTGAGAGGTGGAAAATGAGAGGGCTCTGAAGGATTGGCCAAATCCCAAATGCAAATTTCACCATCCTCAGCCCCAGAAGCAAGAAGATTTGGAGCAATAGTATTAAACTCGAGACCACGGACCTAAAATATTAAAGCAAGTCATAGAATTTTAAATGTCAAGCATACATTATAGACTCCAGAGAACAAAGAGCAATAACAAACTGAATGCTAGCTCATAACTTACTGGCCCTTTATGCCTCACAAGATGATGAAGGAAAGCACTTTCTTTTGCCTCCGAACTGAAAAAATAAATCAAATTAATAAATTATTTGCAAAGACAAAGGAAGGATTTGCATCTGAACTTATAGCTAAGTGCGAAGCCATCGACAGAACACCCAAATCCTCAGAAATACTGAATTTTTACTTATACTTCAAAAAGACTAAAAGAAAAACTACATTCCCTTACAGGCAATAGATGCTTTTCTTTATTTAATGACAAGAACACCGCAATGATTTGAAAGGAAGTGAATCTTGAGTTGTCATTAAGTAGATAGGACTGCCTGTAAGAGATCATCATCTCCACCATTCATCGTCATCTTCCACTTAATTGATCCCAGTAAAACAACTAGTGTCCTTCAATCCTACCACTGTCTCATGTTGAATCAGAAACCTATCTCTCCTATGCTCCTCTATAGTTTTGCCAAACAACGAGACTACCAAACCCACTCACCAAGTTGATGAATAATTCTTAATACGACATTGAACAACCCTTACGCTTAAAAACAAACAATAAAGTGAAACAAACGAACCAATCATGATTAACAGCATCAAATAGAGAAGGAAATTAGAAAACAACAATAACAAGTTGATTTTAATTTATAATAAATCATGTTATATAATAAGATTTTCTCCCACTCAGTTTCCTGAATGAATGAAACTGAATCATTCATCACCCTCCATCTAAAAGTCAGTGGAATTATTCAAAATCCCCGAAACAATTCAGCACCCATCCATCACCTATGTCGCAACGAGGTTCCCACGGTTCCAAATTCACTCAGTTGAACCACATTCCCAGCAGGTGTCCAATCACACAGAACTCACATCACCCCAAATACATTCATTCTCAAAGATCCAAGGTAAACAACCCAAAGAGCAAAGCCCAATTACCGGATCAGAGTGAGAGGATTCCAGAGGCCAATATTGCCATCGACCAGGCCACCAGCAACGAGCCCAAGGGAGAAACCTTCAGAGGCAGAACTACTCTTTCCCCACGACAGACGATTGAACCGCTCGGAGCTCGTGCACTCCGCGACCAAGGGCAGTTCCTGATCGTCGGACTGGAAATCAAGGTTGAATATTTCGAGATTAGCGGAGGAGCTAAAGGACAGATCAACTGCCCCCGCCATGGTTCCGGCCGCCATGTAAGGTGCGTCCGGTGCCAGGGCCACGGACGCTGATCGATTGACCCCTTTAATGCACGCCATTCGAATCGGGGAGCCAAATTATGCAAAATTAAATCGCGAATTCAAGTGTGCGAATAAAGAAAGCGAGTGGATCTAAGAGCTGAAAATTGTATGAACGAATTAGGATTTTGTCGATCCGATCTGAGAAAATGTGTGCGCGAGAGTGTGAAGAACTACTCTCAATCTTAGTTCTTCGCCCGTATTTTGCCAGTCTCTTTGGTGTCAGCAATAGGGAAACTACAACTGCGCTATTTTTGCGTTACGGAGGGTTCTGTTATTAGCGGGTTCGAGCTCATTTTCTTGACGAGGATATACGGATGGTTTCTTTCTCTGGGGTTTCTGCGTGAAATCAAACGGTGATTTTGTCAGATAATGCTCCCTCCTCTCCCACATTACACCCGTCCAAAAAAAAAAAAAATGTTGTTTTGGGCTAAATTAAACTATCATTCTCTGAATGCAACTAATTTTCTTTATTTTTTTATTATAAAATGTTATATTTATGCAAATAATTTGAAACAAACAATTTTGTATTGCTTAAACCTTCTTTTTTATGCATATAGCCACTTAAGCTGAGTTATTCCCTCCTGTATATAATATAAAAAATTAGTTAACTTTTCTTATGTATCAAAAAATAAAAGTTTAGTTATTAAACTTATCAAAAAATGATAGAATTTTCTATTTTACTCTTAAAAATTAATAAAGTTGCTTTTCATATTATATTTTTATTATCTCTCATTTCTCTTTCCTTTGAGCTATATTTAATAAGAGTAAAATAAAAAGATTTTGACAGTATCTCATTTTTTAAAACATAATTTTCTTCTGACTAACGTTTTATATTACAAACTTGAAAAAAGAGTATGTAAATAAATCCCTTAAATTTTAAATTATTTGTAAATAAATAATAAACAAAAACCAATAATGGTAAATAAATTATCCGCATAAATATAAAAGTTGGAATAATGTAAATTTTCAAAAATTAGGAAAATTATTTATGTTTGCCATAAAATTCAGGATGGTGTTATATAACTTAGTCTTTTTTTTAATTTAAATGTCAAATTTCATTAATGGTTAAGGCCAGTTTGGGAACATTATTTCAAAAAAACACTTTAGTGATTTATAAAACAAAATTTCTCTTATATATTTATGAAGTAAAATTAATTCTCCATCATTAATAATGCCTGAATGACTTGAATAGTTTGGGGCCAACCAACAATATTAGAACAAAATGATGAGCAATAAAAAAAAATTACATAAGTGCTTATTTAGAGCAGCTTATCTTAAAAACGTTTATGTAAGTTAAAACAAAACTCATCTCATATACTTATCTCGTACGTCATAAGTCAAGATTAAAAGTTATTTTTGAAGGATCCAATTATCATTCCAAATAAGTCTTAAAGCTACTAACATTCAAATGCTCCCCGATGTTGAAAACAGCACAAACTAAAAGAAGAAACTTGAAACGCCACAGACACGCTGCTAAAAGAGACGTTACATTCCAATCTGCAAGATGATGACTCAGGGCCTTTTGGAACTTCCCCATGCAACGATCAATATGATGAACATCCGACTCTTGTGCAGACATTGATCACCAGGCTTTTCTTTTCTTTTTTGACTTTGTAAAATGCTTTATCCCATGACAGGGCATGGACTTAAAGAGCTACTTTCCCCATTTTTGTGTGCGTCACTTGATCTATCCAAGGTGGTAAATAAATGTTGAAACCTCACTCGTTTGTATTGTTGTCTTGTTTCTGCTGCAAAAGTGCAAGTTTCAACTTTCTGTGAAATGTCCCTCCACAGAAAACCACTAAAACATTGCGGCAAATTGGAATTTCCTGATGGAACTGATTTACTTCTAGTGATGATGTTTTCTGTGGACTTGTTTTTATGAGACTGTTCCACTATTTCTAAAAAGCTAATCAGCTTTTAATTCCTAGTGATTCATGAGCTAAATAGCCCATTTGAAATGATTTATAAATATTTTTTAATATTAATTTATAGAATACAAAATATATATGTGAGAAAAGTTTTGTCTCAATTTACATAAAACGTACTTATAAGTTATTTTGAATGTAATACTAAAGAAGGCCTAAGGACGGGATGAGCATTTGGACCTGCTTTGTGAGTTTGGCCATGCCCCTCAACAAATAAGAAATATCTACCTTTCACCAAAAAAAAAGCTATGAAAACAATAAAATAAAATGGACATGGATTGATGTGAGGAAAAATTCTTAAAAAAACCTCTTGAATTTCAAAATATCGAACCAGTAATTATTATAAAAATATGTTGTCATTTATTTTTCGAATGTAATCTATTGCTATTAAAATATAGTAAATATAACTGATTTAGAATTTTAAAATTCAAGAAGTATTTTTTTAAAAAAATTCTTAATGTTATTTGATTAAAGGGAAAGGAAAATTGTACTAAGCTTCAAAGGAAGAAAGACAGAGCAAAAAGGTCTTATAAGAGGGTATTTGGATGAAACCAAATCATGGTTTGAAGATAGCTTATGGAGAATAGATTCTGAAGAGAATAGATTTTGTGAAAAATAGGTTTTGTGAAAAAAGTAATTCTAATAAAATGAGAGTGTTTGAATAGAGCTGTCAATAAGGGCGAGCCCTTGAAGAGCCAGGGCCTAAAAGGGCCGGCTCTTTAAAGCCCACATACCTTAAAATTATCTAATTATTAAAGCTCGACTTTTGAACATGCGAGCTTAGGGCTTAAAAGGACTGGCCCTTTTATGTTATTTTTTAAAATTTAAATTCTTTTTAATTATTTTAAAATAAAAAATAACAACAAAACTTCTAAGATTTTTTATTAAAATTATAAATATAAGTAAAATAAATTAGTGGTGTATAGAAAAAAAAAATGCCAATAAACTATTGTCCAAAATAAAAAAAATCAAAATCTAACAAAACGCGAAAAACAGAAAGATAAAAATCTAGCAGTTAAAGATTAACAGTATCAACATTATTATTATTTTCATCAGTATCATCAAAATCAGCAATATTTGATTGTTCTTTACTACAGGTGAGCTCTTCTTCAGTGATAAAAATATTAAGGTTTTTGTCTTCATTTATCTTATCTAAAATAAAACTATGCAGTAGTTATAAGTACAAATAAGAACCTGAACATTTGTTCGAATAAGAAAAGTTTTACACTTTGTTAAGATATATAGACCAATGGTAAATGAAGATCTACTAGCTATTATCGTGACTAAAATGTTAAGAATATCAGCTACCATTCTTGAAAGAATTGAAAATTGATTTTAATTGTTCTTCCACAAATTCAAGACATCTAATTCTTTTCAATGATCTAGCTTGAGTATTGATTCTTCTAAGTATTTTTATAATTTAAACTTGTTTATAAAAGAATAATCTATAACTTTATAAATATATTGATAATAATAAAAAAATAGGCAGGTTTAAAAGGGCTAGCCCTTGGCCCTAAAGGGTTGGCCCTTTTATTTTTGAGCCCTATAAGACTAGCCCTTTTAAGTCCAATTTTCTTTCAAACCACTTAAAATACAAGCATGGCCTTCCACTTAAAAGGGCTTAAAAGGATTGGCCCGATGGGCTTAGCCCGTTTTGACGACTCTATTTGAATAGTTGTTATCAAAAGCATTTTATATATTTACAAATTACTAAAAAGGACATAAGTTAATATAATAATTATATAAAAGATAGATTTTATAATATATTTTAATTTGAAGGAATAAAATTGTTAATAATATATTTTTTACCAATATAATTAATAATATATATATTAATTAATTGTTAATATGTGCATTACTTAATTGTTAAATTTTACATATATTTATAAAATATAATAATATATTTTTAAAGAATAAAAAATTCAACAGAAAAATACTATTTTAAGAGGAGAAAGGTTGGTCAAAAAACAAAAAGAATTGGGGAGGAGAAAGAAGGAGAAATGTGAGGTGTGAAGATTATAGTGATGGGGCTCCTTGCTTTCTCTAACAACATCATGGTTTGAAAAGTAAAAAATTTTCACTTCTGGCAAAACTATGGTTTCAAAAAATTGAGAGGGTTTTGGATGTTTTTGGAGGCAAACCTTGATTTGGGACGACACCCAAACAAGCCCTAAGAGTTACAAATATATTAGAAATCCCAAAAAGAGACTAAGTGTAAGAGGGTGTAACTTAATAAGAATGAGAACATATCTCATTGTCCATCTTGATACCTTCACAGGTTAATACGTGCTATGACAATTGTGATATCAGAAATTTATGGCTTGTTTGGTTTCTTGTTTTGAAAATAATTTTTTGTTTTTAAAAACAGAAAAATAAAAAAACTTGTTTGACAATTTGTCTTTAGTTGATTGTTTTAAAGAACAAAAAAACAATGATATGTTTTTAAAAAACTGAAAAATTAAAACAACTTTGTATGTTTTTTTTGTTTTTGTTTTTGTTTTGTGTTTTTTTTTTTTTTCCTTTTTTGTTTTGAAAAATTAGAAAAATCTTCTTCTTTTTCTCTTCTACTACCTATTACTTATCACTACCGATAATAACTATTACTTGTCAAAGTGTAATTTTTATTTTTTTCAAATGTGATTTTTTTTAAAAATTATTTCCAAACAAAGTTTTTTGTTTTTTTGTTTTCAAAAACTTGTTCTTAAAAAATTTTATAAAATTGTTTTGAATAGGAAAACAAGGAAAAAAAACAGGCCCTTAGGGGGTGTTTGGATGAGGTAAAACCATGGTTTGGAGAATAGCTTCTGGAGAGAATAGCTTCTGAAAGAATAGATTTTCTAAAAAGTGATCTAATAAAGTGAGAGTGTTTGGATAATTGTTGTCAGAAGTGCTTTTTGATATGTAAAAATTACTAAAAAGGACATAAGTTTAAATGATAATTATATGTATTACTAATATATTTTAGGACATAATGTTTAAATGATTATTTATATGTAAAATATATTTTAATAAATTATATGTTTATTATGAATAATAATATTTTGTTAATAATATATATTTTGGCAACATAATAAATAAGACATAAATAATATAATTAATAAAAATTAAAGTGTATATATATTAATAAAATAATTAAATATGTTTTTAGGAAAATGATTTACTTTGCCAAAAAAATTATTATTTCTTAAAAATTTTAAAGATGAAATCCCATATTTTTTTTCACAAAATTAAATAACCACACAAAAAAATTTCATATTAATTGTCTTAATAATAGAGGTTACAACGAAATATATTTGTCCAAGTAGTTTTTTTTAACAACACATTACATTATCTGAAAGAAAAAAAGAAAATAAAAGGGACATGATTATTCTTGTATATAGTGAATAATTTGATCTCTTACGGAGTCATGAAGCCAAGCCATGTGAAATGAAGATTCTATTGATGAAGGTATTAAGACCTTGTCTATATATTAACTCTCTAATTAGGTTTTACATTAATGACCGGAACAATAATCTTACTTTTAAGACCAATATTAACTCTCCAATTAGGTCCTACATTAAAAACCGAAATAATAAATTTATTATTATTTTTGCCAACATAATAAACAATGTATAAAAACATATATTAATTACTATATCCAGTTGTAAATGTAAGAGTTAGTTAACTAATCTGAGTAAATTAAAAAAATAAGTTAAGTTAGTTATTTGTAATAAACAGGTGTTGCCTTTCTTACAATATCCCTATTAATCAAGTTTATTGGTTATAACTTAAAAAACGATAGACAAATATGATAAATAAAATAAATTGAGGTTTTATATTTAGGACCAAATAAAAATTAAATGAGATCTTATATTAAAAACAAGATGTGGTAATTGTTAATATGTGTATATATAATTATAAAATATAAGATTATGTTTTTAAAAAACTAAATAATTATTTTCAACCAAAAAAAATTACCATACGTAGGGGTGGGGGGAGAACCACTCAAAAAGCAAAAATTTTTAACTTATTACAAAACCTTGGTTTTGATAAGCAAACCATGGTTTTATCATAAAACCATGGTTTTGAAAATTGATAGGTGTTTGGGTAATTTTTTTTCTCAAACCATGGTTTGGGCAATCACCCAAACCACCCCCTTAGCCTTTTTTTGGACAAAAAATCAGCTTTTTTTCAACTACAAAATTGGTCTATTAGAATTAACGATTATTTATTAAAAGAATATAAACCCTAACCCCCAAAGTTTTTGCCGAACAAGTTCACAGCCGCTGCCCGCGCACTCCTTTCCCTTTCTCCCTCTCGTCTTCGCTCACTCTCGTCATCCTGCTAGTCTGCTGCTGGAATTTCATGAAACTTCAAAGGAAGTAAAGAAATCACTGAACCAAAGCCCTAAGCGCAGCAAGCAGAAGCATTAGAGAATGACGCAGAAGGCCGCGCTTTTCAAAGGTCAAAAGAAGAAGAAAACAATTCCGCCCAATCGTCATGGAAAAGCTCCTCCTACTCGCAAAGGTACTTCTTACCCGACTTTTCGACCTCCGTCCTATGTGTTAAGAGCTATTGTAATTTGTTACGGTTTTCGCAGGCAAGAAATTTGTGAAGCCATCGAAGGTTACCAAGGAGATGGATACTGATCGGGTGAGGTTTTTTAAGTTTAATTTTTCTCTCGTTGCTTCTTGCATTATTCTCTTTGGGGTGTTTGGGATGTGAATTAAGTGCAATGAGTTTGAATTTCGTATTGGTCTTCTAGACAGTAGAACAGATTTTCACTGAGGATAATCGGTGTTGACACTGCTCTTTAATATTACAATGATTGATGTATATTGAATTCGTATTAGACATAAAACAGTTCTAGCATGCTTAGAATTATCACTCGCGATTTCTGAGGCACTCGCTTGTGGGGTCAAGCAATGAATTTGGACTGCTTCGAAGGAAAATGACTGCCCTTGCTCCTTTCCGAACACGATTATTCAGTCTTGCTTGTAGTGAAATCTTACTTAAATTAGCTAGGAAACATTAATTAAATTATTATAAACTACCTAGATTGTGAATACTCTTGGTTGGAAAGTTTTATCATACCCTATAAGTTGTGCTTGTTTATCTGTGGAATCACGTTCAGATCTCAAAAAAGCAATTTAGTAATAGTTAAGTTCGAAGAAATTTTGCTCAGAGATGAGTTAGAAATTTTGATTCATACAGCACCAAATATGAAAATGTTAGCTGCAAATCAGATATTATAGGTCACTTCTAGTTCTAGAGATTTTCAACTAAAAATCCCATAATTGCAACTCATTATGATTAATTATTCGAATCGATATTTGCAACTCATGATTATCAAAACTTTTTAGGACTTAATTATTATTATTAAATTGAAATCTCGGACCCAACTGTCATTTTTCGTTGCTTACAACTTACAAGAATGGAAGGGCATTAAGGACTCTTTCTGTACCTGCACTTGCACTCCTATTTCTTATCAAATGATGCGTAGGAACTTGTAGAGAGGTTCATATCTGTCTATTTTCCTATGTATTAACATTGTAATGTAATCATCCAAATTACTGATTTCTTTGTTCATCTTTGAATTAATCAGGAGATAAGCAAATTCATTAACCACTGCAATGAGATTAAAGCTGCCACAGTTGCTCAGAAAGATGGGGGTCAACTGAGTATTATTAAGCCTCCAGCAGAGCTAACGACTGGATCGAAGAAGTAGTTATGTCAAAGGATGATTACGTTGACAGAATTATATTATATTCTTTTGATGATGCTTGGTGTGAAGTGGGAAGTCAATTTTGATTCTATGCTTTTCCCCCTATCTTTAGAGGATGCATTGGGTTGAGTTTTCCCCTATACTTAGCTTCTTTATGCTTAGTCTTCTCTGAAGTCATTTAAGGCCTCTTAAGTTCAAAGAATCATAGGAGTTAGGAAATATTGACTAATCTTTAATAGATTAATTTGAGTAAATTAGAAAAATTAATTAAATTAGTTATTTTTTAATAAGTAGGTGTTGTTTTTTTTAAAATACTTTTGCTAATAAAGTGTATTAGTTAAAATTATCATTTGATGAAATATTTAACATGTATAACTACTATAATAACTATTTTGGAAAAAAAAAAAGAATAAGTATGAGAAATAAAGTGAATCAGAATCTTGTATTTAAGACTAAATAGAATGTTAAATTAGTTTTTATATTGAGAAACAAGGGTAATATAATAGAATGGTAAGTAATTTTTCAAGTTTGACTTAGAGTATTTTTAAGTTATTTTGGACTTAAGGATAATTTTTGTCAAATATTTGTTTGATATGACATTCACAATATTTAAGCAAGGTGAAACGAAATTTATTTATGATATCTAGTTAAATACTAATAAAATTAGAAAGATAAAAATGTCCTTAAAAAAAGAGATTATTTCCCTCCTTGCCTTATTCATTCTTTCTCATCTCCAATAAACCCAAGAGTAGTTTGAAATTCCAGGGAGTAAGTTGCATGTAAGAAGCTGATGTAGTTTTGCATTTTGATTTTATGGAAAGGCAATTTTATTAAATTAGAAGTAAAGTGAAGGATCCAATAAAGCTTAATATGCAAACAACGCAATATAAACTAGTTCCACAAAGACATTGGACAAGACGAAGACCAACAACAAAAGCATGACAACCGTAGCAACAATTAATCCAAACTTAACCAGAGACAGCCAATGACTTGAACCGAAAAGCTAAGACGACTCCAGCCCATCGTCAACGTTGCATTGCATGCATGAAAGACGAAGTGGTAGTGGAGAATGGTGAATTTTATAACTATTTCTTGAGAATGACACAATGGGCAAGGAGATCATATGGAATGCTGTTATGTTCTGGTTCTTTCTGTTCTGTTCAAATTCCATGTTTCAAGTTGGCTTTCCAGGACTTCTTCAGCGTGTTGCGTCCACAGGTGGCGGCATTGCAGGTTAGAGTCTCGCGGAGTTCCTCCTGGCTTTATGGTCAAACTTTTATGGCTTTCACTACTTACTGTTCTACGTTTAACAAGTACCACTTTGATTCTGAATATAAAAACTAGACAATTAAATTAGGGAGATTAAAAAGATTAGTTAAATTGATTATTTGTAACAAATATGTATTGATATTCTCTTTTTTGGTCAAATATGTATTAACATTCTTAAATTACCCTGATTCAATTATGCACATTGAAACTATACTTGGATTGAATTACATTACAATTAATAGAATTTTTTTTAGAATGCATTATAAATTTGGAAGGCAAAATAAATTTGGAGTCTGATATTTAGAACTGCTAATTAGCTTTTATATTTCAGACTAGAGGTAGTAGTAATTATACTTGAAATTTGAGGGAGTAACTTGCATGTGCTTTTGCCTGTTTGATTTTTCCCGTTGTACTAGTTTTTCCTGGTTGATGTTTAACACGAGGTCAAAAACACATTGAAAGCTCATGAAGCCCATTTGCTTTATGCTTTTAGACCCATCTTTCTCTTTTGTGTGAAGTCAAGAAGCTGAGGCCCAGTAAAAGCTATAAAGACTGAAAAATCTCTTGACCTTCACGATCATCTCAATTCATTCTAATATCGATTATGGGTGGAATCTTATATGGGGAGTTGCTGTCTGGATGTTATGGAAATGCAGAAATCATTCTTATTTTGATTATGACTATGTTAAGCCTAATGACCCCACAGCAGTTGTGCTTAATATTTGGACCTCTTTTGTTCAAGTAAATGACTCTTCTATTAAAAAATTACGGATTAATGCTCCAGAACCATCAGTTTGGCAACCACCAATTTACGGGGGTGTGAAAGTGAATGCGGATGGGGCTGTTTCTAATAGGAGGAATAGGACTGGCTGTGGTGGTATAATGAGGGATCGTGTGGGTAGTTGGATTGTGGGATTTACTCAAGCTCTTGAAGATCACACCGTGTTAGAAGCTAGAGGTGATAAAATGGGTTAACCTGCCGATTACAGGTCAACCAGTCGCGGGCTCAAGACGATGCAGGCCTATCCTAAAAAGACCCCCTCCTAACAGGTTCCCATTTTGCTTGCCCGCTAACCTTCATTCTTTTTAAATTTTTTTTACACATATTTAAAATTTTTTTAAATTAAATTATAAATTTTTATAGACCAAATTCTTCTTATTGTTATATTGTCATATAATTATATAATTGAATTAGTCTCAAAAGTTAATATATAAATATATATTGACCGGAACCATAGGCTTATCCATGGTCTGGCCCACGGACTGGACTGACCAAAGCTACTCCAGTACTTAAGATGTATTTGGCCAAAGATACAGAGTCCAAGCTTAGACTATGGCTCTACTCCTTAAAGAACTAGACCAGGAGGTGTTACTGTCCCACATTCCCCCCAATAAACTTGGCCAAGTAAGTATTAAGGAACGAGGCCCTAAAAAGACTAACCACTTTATGCTAAGTGAAGGCAAACAATGTGGTCACAATTTATCACATATATCAATACCATAAACTCCCAAGTCCAACCGCCTATACATGTTATGAATATGCAGCAAATCTAGCATATGCAAGCATGCGTGAAAGAGAATAAATCACCATAAATCTCCACAAAATAACCAAAGCATATTCATGCTTAAAAGAGAATTCAATAACATAGAAGATAATACAACAATATTCTTTCACCTTTTCCGTCTGATTTATTTATTTGTATCAATTAAGCCGATAAATTTATATATATATCTATTCGTTAATAAACATTTAATCATGGATAAAGATTACCCACACATGGAAAGAACCCCAAGTTGCCTGGTCTCCTCAAGATCATTAGTAGTGAAACAACAATTCCAAGCAACAAGGCTCTTAAGTCTACAAAAGTCACCAATACATACAAAACTATTAATTTATAATTTGATCTAAAATTTTAGCCTACACTACTTTAAGATTGTTAAAACTATCCATGAGTTTAAAAGCTATTCTAAAGCAAATATCATTTAGTCCTCAGGATTTAAAAGTAAAAGAATATTATTGAATAAAAATTGGGACAAAATTTTGAACATTAAAGCTATCCTATGGACCCAAAATTCCTCCCTCGCTGCTTTTTGTTGTTTTTTTTTAAATTATTATACACACTCCTTTAAAATTTTGAAAATCTTAGCTTATAGAGTTTCTCCCAAATTAGATGTGCCTTTATAATAAGCATATATGGATGTACTTATATTATAATGCATATAAAATTAGGATATTAAATGATTAAGATCCTAGAAGGTCACTGTAGGTTTTTGTAATTATGATAGAATTAAAGCATTAGTATTGGGAAATCATCCAAAAACTTCCTCATTTTGTATACTCTGCTGCTAAGAGTATAGTATATATAAATTGTTACTCTACTACTACTACTATTAATACTACTGCTACTGCTGCTCCTACTACCACCACCATCACTACCATTATCACCACTATCATCACTACCACTACTACCTCTATCACGACTACTACTGTGATAACCGTTCTCTCAAAACCATTTTAGATTAAATTCAACAATTTATTTTAATGATTAACCATGATAGAAAAGAAGAAATCTTAAAATTTTAAAATCGCTATCATGGTTAAAAGAAATAAACTTATATTACGAACCACATCTATCGCTAAGAGTACAGTATATATAAATTGTTACTCTACTACTACTACTACTATTAATACTACTGCTATTGCTGCTCATACTACCACCACTATCACTACCATTATCACCACTACCATCACTACCACTACTACCACTATCACGACTACTACTACTACTATGACTACTACTGTGATAACCGTTCTCTCAAAACCATTTTAGATTAAATTCAACAATTTATTTAAATGATTAACCATGATAGAAAAGAAAAAACCTTAAAATTTTAAAATCCCTATCATGGTTAAAAGAAATAAACTTATATTACGAGTCACATCTATCGTTAACTTGGGCCTTGGACTTTCAAAGTCTAGAAATATCATTCAACCATTAGCCCAAACCAAACTTATACTTTCCAACATACGAACTGATAAATTATTTTTAATATAAGTTATGGAGCCCATTAGTCAAAAGTCAATACTTTCAAAAGAGTGTCACATGCAGAGTTCGAGGTGTCTCTAGCCTTCTAGTAGCCTGACCATACCATATAGTAGAAATTAAAAGTATTAATTTACAACATTAGAGTATATGGGCCCTATGTGGCAATATATAACAAATAATCACATATAACAAAAGTCGGGAGGCTATACAAGCTATAACAGCACACTACGCCTCTGGAGCCTTCCCTGATGGGTCACTGTGACAACCGCTCTTTTAAAACCATTTTAGATTAAATCCAACAATTTATTTGAATGATTAACCATGATAGAAAAGAAGAAATCTTAAAATTTTAAAATCGCTATCATGGTTAAAAGAAATAAACTTATAATAAGAGTAACATCGATCGTTACCTTGGGCCTTGAACTTCCAAAATCCAGAAATATCATTCAACCATTAGCTCAAACCAAACTTATATTTTCAACCATACGAACTGATAAATTAGTTTAATATAAACTATAGAGCTCATTAGTCAAAAGTCAACACTTTCAAAGGAGCGTTACATGCAGAGTCTAAAATGTCTCGGGCCTCCTCACGGCCCTATCATACCAGATAGTAGTAATTAAAAGTATTATTTTACATCATGATAGTAGATGAGCCCTATGTGGTAATATATAACAAGTCAGCACATAGAACAAAAACAGGGAGGCTATACAAGCTATAACAGCACACTATGCCTCCAGAGTCTTCCCTGATGGGCCACCACCTGAACTATCGCCTGAAAATGTTAAACCACGGGGTGAGACAAATGCCTCAGTAACCAACTTTCCAACTCATCATACATACTAACACGTGCTCGTGAGATGTCAAGTGGGATAGTTATTAATTCTCGAGAAACATAAATATATCCATAAAAATATAATTTCAATCATCCAAACCCT